ATAGAGATGATCTGGTTAGTTTACATGGATGGCACTATAGTGTAACTGCGCTTCCTGAAGAAAATATGTGAGAACTATAGACAACAAATAGAAAGGTGTGGGAGGTTTTCACCATAAAGGTTTCCTCCCGGGTAAATATTATAGATTGTAGACACCTGCATGGGCCCATAGGGCGCCAAATCAGGAAAATGAAATCAATTTCAAATAGGTGCTGAGTGGATACTCAATCGTCTCCAGGTCCCGAAGTTCTGTTCAATGCGAAAGCGTGACAATAGCTTTTTCTTCGACTGTTGTTGTCCTTTTCCGTCATGTAACCTGTCGAGACCTAGAATATAAAATATTATTATGGGATAAATGACGTATGGCTCACATACTTACTTGACTATTAGTGGTTACCAGTTGGGCAGGAAGTCTGCGTGAGATGTTGTGTGGAGGAAAATCCAGGTCACGAGAAAGTGGCCTTTGGATATTAAACAAAAGGCAGGAAGACAGACCACTCGCTCCGTTTAGGACACGAGTAAAAGATATTTGTATTGGCTCTACAGAGCTGGATCACTCGTGGACGATGAATGATGTATGTAAGATAGGAAATATGTATTGTAATTTCATTGAGTCTTTATATAACGGTTGTTATTTCATTCCAACATAATCACTGTATTCGGTTAATCTCCAGGCCAAGAATCCGAGTCCCGGCCGCTATCACTACTTCCTTCGTATTGGCGTAGTTGTTGGCATCCCTGTGACCTTTGATTCCTGTCCCAGGTGGAATGTCAGAAAGCTCAACGGAGGTATCTTGCCGTTAGATGTCGAAGTCGGCTGTTTGAAGCATGTTAAGTGCCGCGTCTCCTTCAGAAGCTTGTTAGGCACACATCTCAGTGTCGTTATGTCGTATTTGGTGGATGGCATGTGCTGCTTGAACGCGCTCTTAGCCTTTGATAGCAGCTCCTCTGGCTACAGTTCTTTCACTCCTTCCATTCTTGCTCACAACGCTAGCTTCGTCCTTTGCAGATCTACGACTGACGCTCAAGTCCATGGTATCAATATCCCCGGAGCCACTTTTCGAACAGCTCTTCGCGCGGGATTAACAAGGCACTTCTTTTAAATCTCCTCATGCGTCATTTTTTTAAAATCATTTAATGTTTATTCAGCTGTATAGCTATGACACATGACGGTGCTAAGTATACATCTTGGATGACTCTTTTCACGTTAGAGACACTCATACTCGGGATTTCATTCGCAAGTACCACTATGAGGTATGCTTGCTTACACAAACAGTCGACCCTCTTCCGTAAGTACCCACCAAAGGGACGTTTCAAAACTTTTGATTATCCAAGCATGTCTTCGTCATCCATGTATACCGGCGCCGCAAAAAAAGTGGCTGTGTTTTGCCGGATTTGAACCAGCAATCTGCTATCTCGAATGGGATACGTGTCCTAGCTATCCAGACCTTACTTGGCTGACCGACCAAGACGATGTACCATTGCACTATCCAGCCATGGCGGTGTTTATAGTTTCGGCTGCACTCTCGTGACTGAAGCCTTGGCACGCACAAAGCTCAATTTGCAAAACTCCTTGCCAAAATCCGAAATTTCACGCTCGTGGAGAATATATCCTTCCTTTGCATCATCTTATGAACTTGTCCCGAAACCTCCCATTTCCATCCTAAAGAACTGTATCCCATGTTTGTGTGCCACACTTTGTCTCCTCCGTCGGGTGTAAATATCAACCCAGGCGTGTAGTTGGTGACCAGCTGAGGCCAGAGAAAGTCGACGAGAGGTGTAGTCATCGGGATGAGGATGAACTAGGTCGTACTTGTAGACTTGATGAGGCTTATGTAGGAATCGATTTCGTTGGGAGTGAAAGATTGATCTGGTTGAGTATTTTGAATCATTGCTTCGTGGGCCAACTTGTTAGGTATTGCGAAATTTGACTGGTCATGGCTCTAGAATAATCTTTTACTCTCAGGTTCGTAGTGGACACCACATACAGGTGTTCAGTCTTGCCCTCCACATGACCCATTGCTTACCGGCCAACTCCCACAGTCGATATTACGAGGCTACGCATACCCGCGCGGAGAAAATAAGTCATAATATCCAAATATCCGGGTCTAGATTGTGGGGGACTCTTGCCTTCATGGGCTTACACTGCTCGAAGGAGGAGAGGCGGCTGATTTTTGGAAGTAAAAGTGTGAAGGAGCTTGCTTGGGAATGCTGGGAATCATATTTTCGCGGTATTTTCGATTTTGCAGCGTCTCAGGGCTAGACCGGAGAACCTCTATTGTCCGCAAGTCCACCGCACTCTCCACTTCCCAGACAGCACAAAAGGTGTTGGCCCACGCTAATTCACAGCAATCACGCTCTGTCAAGACTTTTCCAACAGTGGGAACAGTCTAGAAGGATAGAGAGTCACGAGGTGATGGTGGCTTAGCTGGAGATCTCGGTGATGTTTGGGGCGCCGTGCGGAAAGTGTTCCATGTCGTCCTATACCAAGCAATTAAATGCCACTGCGCCACACCGATATGGGATTGGGAAGGAATGCGAGTTGGCGGAGTACAACTGCCAAGTGAGAGGGCCGAGTAAGGTGGTTTAGTAAGACAACGACGGGTAGTAGCGAAGCAATGTCATGCTCACTGAGAGAGTATGGACCGGGTGAGTTGGAGAATGTATAATTAGCCATTACCCGTGGTTATGTCATTTTTCCTGCATGTAGTTTAATCTCTCATCAGTAGATCATAGCCAGCCTGCTCTTCTCACAGATTAATTTCCACACGCACACACAAGTCTGTAGAGTCTAGCTGGCAGGCCTCTTCGAACGCTTCGTCTAGATAACTATACCTTCAGATTTAGCCCTCATATCGTTATTCAGAGAGCCTTGCGCTCGGTCGATTTTGAGACTTCCCCTTCAGCTACACTCCCACAAATGACCGTAATTTGGTCGGCCGGAGAGGGAGGATGGTGAGGGGCAAAGAGCTCCTCCAAGTGTATGATTTGATGAGGGCTGATGAGAGGAAACTCTGTGGAGGACTATTCTCAACACCTGTCAGTGGTGTCCCCTACGAACCTCCAGCTCTCACGGTAGAGTCTGCAGAGCCGAGATTTAGTAACAAAGTCCTCACTTCAATGAGGATTCCCAATCGCTTTCGCCGTCTGCATCGTCTTCGTCTTTCACTACAACCTCCTGTAACCACTGCCATGAAGCTTACCACAATCAGATCAGTTGGTAGGGTCGGAGCCCTTCTCATCACCAACCCTTGATCATGGAGAGGCCATCTGATGAGTTTCCGGAGCGTGGCCAGCACCCGATACGGAGATGGCAGATTGGATCAAGACGGCCTCAGATTTTACAAAGAAGGGAGATATAAAAGAATATGCGCACCTCATGTGGTTCTGGTATCTAAGCCTTACCTTCTCGGGCTGTGAGCTTATAGGGGTTTTGCATTTTTTTTTGGTAGAAGGCTCCGTGGAAAAGGTGGCCGGATTCCACGGGTAAATACTGAGCTGAATGGCTATTCATCACGGGCAATATCGCAATGATCTTTCAAGAAATATGAGGGGCAAGGAGCACTGTACAAGGTATGGCCTGGGTCAGAGAGGAGCCCAATGTGCTAGATAGTCCATGACAAAAGTAGTACAATAAAAACACACACATACTGTGAGAGCTGGAGGTTCGTAGGGGACACCGCCGACAGGTTCTGAGTTTTCTACCTCCCTTTTTTTTTAAACACGGCTATTCCTTAGACAAGGATTGTCATCTTCTACAATAGACTTACCCCACTCCATGCAAAGACTCAAATTGCGCAAGTCGATCAAGGCAAGAGGTACGATCCTCACATTATAGACCAAAACAGACGCCGGCACACATTCGGATCTGCACCTGTAATAGACTCATAGTAAGATTCTTTCTCAAGAAGAGGAAATAATCCCGCTTAACTATCCAGTTGTTTACAGGAACATGGCAACACGTGAAAATACTTGAAATATAAAACACAATTAGCGTCTTGAGCTTTTACAAAGGTACGAATTACTGTGGAGAGTTGTTCTCTTGCAGATCGGGTATATTGGAATCGGATGTAGAGGTGTATAATATCTACAGTACTGGTCACACGATGGTTCGAAGACAAGAAGTCTAACCGAAGAGAAAGCCATTTAATACATCACAAACGTCGCTCAACATTTTCATTTAAAAAGGTGGAGAAGAGCTTAGGTCAGATAATTGTCCAAGTATCTAGGCATAGGGGAGAGTAAACATGCAGATAAATTGGCGCCAGGAAAGATGCAGTTGATGACTTCATCCTGAAGGGAGCCGCCTCTTTAGTATGTGGTTTCAACGAAACTTCGAACGATGGCGAGCAAACTAAGCACCATCAGGTTAATAACTTCCGTGCAGGAAACTAGGTCTTGTGTGAAATTAAATTGAAAGAATCAAAGCTCTCAATACTAACAAGGAGAAATGATAGAAGACTTCTGTTTTGTGGAATGGAAGGATACAATAATTTTTGCGGTAAAATGAATGACAAGGGCGCGAATGGAGTCTGGCTTGGCCGTCGATCTCAAGATTCTACTTATAAGCATCTTACCAATTACTTGAAGCCAATTGCCCGATAGAAACGCTCTTCAAGTGAAAAGTAATATAAATCTTGTTAATTTCGTAAGAACACAGTTTCGTTGTCAGTCTATGCACGCGATTTGGAGCGTGTGGCAAAGCCTCACTTAGTCTCGAGAATTTAAGACCATCCAATCAACTAGAAATACAGTTCTAGTTTCAAGCACTTTACTGAATTGCACTTTTAATTTTTTGACAGCACAGCCGCTCCCTAAATATTTCAGCTATTTATTGTTTTAAAATTTTTGTTATTTCGACAGCTTCTCTATGCTTTGGAGTAAACGCTTTCTTTTCATAGTTGAACAGGCATTAATTTCACCATTTTTTATTGTAAAACAAATTTTTAATTCTTGTTTTCCCATCCTGGCTTGAACTCCAAATATCAAAATCATACGAGTTTAGGTTGAGTTCAACCCTTCTTCAGTATCGATCTCCATTGCTTCAGATAGGCTATCCCTAGTGTTATTGGCGGAATTTGCTTCGTTACTTATCAAATTATTACCAGAAATGTTTTCTGAGTTGGTTTCGTGATTTGCATTATGACCTTTTTCACCTTGCGCTTCAGTAGAATTATGATTTGTTTCAGTCTGAACATCAATAGGTGTTTTTTCAAGGGCTTTGTGATCGGTTGTCCCATTAAATTCAGGATCCATATCGGTAGACATGTCTGGGTGAGCTTCAAGATGAGTAGTGTTTTTGATTTCGTGAGTAGAATTAGAAATCCCCTCGATAAGTGTACCATTCAAGGGGTTTTGATGGATTTCGCGGTCAACTTTGGAATTTTCCTCGATATGCATATCGCTTGAGGTATCATGATGAGTTTCGCTATCAGCTTTATAATTGGTTTTGCGACCATCTTTATGTTTGCTCTCCCGATTAGAGTTGGAATTGAATTTGGTCCGCTTATCATGGCCAGGTTCAGGGTCAGCCTCGGAATTGGTTTCAGAGGAGTCTTCAGAATTGTCATCTTCTTGTTCTTCATAAGTATTCTCGAGATCATCGTCATCATCATCATCGTCATGATCTTTAGCGGATTTGTTGTCTTTTTTGTCAGATTTCCCAATAGTTTTATTAGAAGCTTCCTTTCTGGAAAGATCTTTAGTTTTCTGGCCATCCACGTCAGAATGACTATTATGTGCTATTCTAGTTCTGTCTGGTTCCCTGGGATTTGCGCTGTCTGGTGGAGCATGTGTCAATCTAGGATCCGGAGGGGGTTCATCAGTGTCTTCTTCGTAATTTTCTTGCTCATTATCATCGGAGGGTGGATTATTAGGTCTAGATCTAATGCCATTTTGCGGTCTGATATTTCCGGGACGCATAAGTGTATTCATAGGATTATTTCGAATATTTCTACCGCCATCAAATGGACTGCTCCCAGGTCTACGAGCCCTAGGATCTCTTATGCCTTCATTTGGATCCAAATCAGGTCCGCCTTGATTTGCATATAAATTCTCTTCTTCGGATAGACCTCTCATTTCTCCAGGTGGACCTCCCATTTCTCCAGGGTAATCGTCTCTACCCATCATGCCATTGGCCATATCTTCCATGTCAGGGTTTCTAGTTCTTCTCATTTCGGCATTACCAAGCAGGTGGGGTAAAGCGGAGTTTATAGTTGAAAAAACTAGATCAGACATATGAAACAATTTACTCTGTCTATTACTCGGAGCTCTATTACTAGGCATCTCGCGAGCGATAACCTCGGCCTCTTCAACTTCTTCTTCATATTGTTCTTCCGTGGCCTGTTCATCCTGAGACGGAGACCTATGTGTGGCGCTGTGATGGTTTTGTATCTCTCTTGATCGACTTGGTCGACTTCTTGACGTCCTTCGTCTTCTGGTAGGTTGAATTTGATTTGCTTCTTGTTCACCTTGAGATTGGATTATCTCTAAATCACGAGAAGAATCCTGGCCAGTTACTAGAGGTTGGGCGTTTTCCTGTTCTAGATGAGATGATATTTGATTATTAGAAACTGATGCAGAAGGGTCTTGTCCTCCATTGTGGTTACTGCTTTCCTGCATTCTATTAGGTTGAGGCGGCACTAGCGGGGCTGTCTGTGGTGAGGGTGGGTACGCTGGGTTCAGATTCGACGGAGGTACATTTGGAGGATCATTGGATGATGCCGAGTTTCTAGGAATCGCGTCTGGTTGCCGTGGTGCACCTGGATCTGTTTGGGGTGGTGAAGGGTCATCGGACGACGTTGGATTTCTCTGACCCCCATTTAGTGGACCCCTTACGGATGGGACTACATGCAGAGAGGATGAAGGATCTTGTACAGGTTTCAATGAATCAGGAACATTCTGAACTACTTTCTTCGACCGATGTTTTTTTCTGCTTTTGTTTTTTTTCCTGATACTAAGGGGATTAGTAGATTTGACAACTCGTCTTGAGCCTGTAGTTCTTCGAGGTTTTTCTATCCTGCCCTGTGGGCTTAAACTGCGATTAGGTCGGTTGCGAGGGGAACTAAGCGGCGATTTTTTTCTATTTCCACTCTTCGGTCTCCATAAGAATGGTTTTCTTCTTGTCTTCTTTGGAGGCTTACGGAATCTTCTCGCTGTTTCTAATTTTCTGGTAGTGCCAGTTTTGGGAAGAGCTATGCTCTCGGATGGCAGCCGAGTTTTAGGCGGAGGTCCGCTAGGAAATTTCCTGGTAGTGCTGGGTTTACGAAGAACTTTGCTCTTGAATGGAAGCCAAGATTTAGTTGAAGGTCTACTAGTAACTTTTCTGGGAGGAGTCCTTGCCCTAAATTTGGGTCTGGTTTTCCATCTGTTCTTGACAGGTCTAGTTCGAGGACGAGGAGCAACGGCACGGGCCTGAATGAACTGACTAGATTCCTTTGCATTTTTCAAGGATAGACTCTCCTGTAAATCTAAATGGATGCGATTTTTGTCTGGTAGATTTTCAGCCGATCTTTCTTTTGTTTCTTCAGGCAGCTGGTGGTGGAATGATTAGTATTGCAAGTTTAACCTTATGAAGCCGAAAAGCATACCGAAGTTCCCTTCGCCAGGTCTTCAATATCATCATTCTTGGCATCTTGATGTGATTCGTACTCTATCGTAGATGTTGCTCTCTTAGTATGAGTACTAAATGGCTTGTAGCGTGATAATCCGCACACATCTTCTGACTCTCGGGCATTTGACGTTGATGCGTCGGCGTGTTGATTTTCTTTAAGGATATTTGCCGCTGAGCAATCAGCATCATTTGGATTAAATTGTAATACGGTTTGATGAGCTTTCTTCAGAGTAAACAGTTAGTCTGTGTGTATTTATCGAAGTGATATTCAAGTAATATGTGAGCACTCACAAGTTTCGGGGTGTGTATATCGGCAGAGTCTGAAATTGGCTCAGAATATGATTTAGCACGGAACGTCTATTTGGACTTACTAAGTCTATGGAAATCAGCTCTGAATCTTCGGGGCACCACAAAGGTTTGAAGACCTACTGAGTTTGAACACAATCAACCAATAGAGAAAGAAGGATACCGGGCAACAAATGCATTGGAGGATAGGGTATTCCTCTTATTCAAGATGTAAAAAATATACTTTTTTCTCAGCCGTAAACTGGAATAATACTGGGATTGTAGTGAATTTTAGCCGCAATGATAGCTTTCATGGCTTTGAAAAACAGCTGGAGTAGTGAGAAGTTATCTAAGTTTGCAAAGGAGAGCCGTAGTCGTTAATATTAATGGGTAGATTGTTATGTTAATTATGGGCCCATGCATGCTCAGCACAGTGCGGATGATATCCCCTCGTTCATATAATACTAGGTGGAGACTTTGAAGACTGACGCGCATTGGCGCATCTTCCCAGGTTTAATTTTATATTTTATCTGAAGTTCAATCAAGCGACGAGCGCGAGTCAGATATGACATCGTCCCCCTAGCCCGTCATCTATCGCTAATTTGAAGTGGCTTTTCCATAATTTTACCCTCGTCACTCTGAATTCAGTGATCTTATGAGTGTGGAGCCGTAAAGCTATCATCCCGTGATATATTAACCGTATTGCTGGATCGTGTGCATGCTAGCAGCCTTTGGTATATTGGCGCGCTCCATATTTCTTGTTATAACTCGGCCAGATTACTTCTCAATTGATGGCCAAGGATAGAGTTTGGCGAGATGTAAATACGGAATGAGATATTTACATTTGCGTACGCCAGATGACATCGGAATCAAGTCTCGATGAGGGTGGATAAAGCTTTGCGAAACTGTTAATAATTGAGTGCAGAGCGGTATAAACCGATATAGTTTAGGAGTAGCTATTTGTCTTCAGTTCTCAAAGTAAAGCGGATTTAGGACTAGCTGCTGGTGTTGGTATTGAGGTTGTACTGTCGATGATTGGGGACAGGGTACGATTTCGTTTAACAATTAGCCACAAAGCAACACTTTATTGTTGCTTTACGATTGAGTGTTTGGTGCGGCTTCTTCTTAGCAATAGAACTATGCCACTCAGATACGTACCGGCATTTTTGGGTGGCTAATAAGCAAGGAATTTGATGGGAATGTTTATAGTAGCCAAAATTGTACAGCCAATGAGGATATTCGAAACAAATTTTAAGCTCTATGTTAGATAAGCTTGATTATCATCTTAATATTCGGCGTAGGATTTGCTCGTCCTGCCTCGACAAATATTCTATCAGTAAGGACAACTCATACGCTTGGCTCAAAACGAATCTAATTCAGTCAATCAAGTTCTCCAAAACTGCGAGCCATTCTGTTTGTGGCAAGGTAAGTGGATTCACAGGCCAATCACAAGACCATTAAAGGTCCGAAGCCTGTGAATCCTCATGCACAGCCACTTCGGCCTGCCTATATTTTCAACACTCAAATCGGCTTTTCAATTCCGGCCAAGTCAATAGAAAAAGAAATTTGACAAAGACGAATTTTTCGCCTTCTACCGGTGCTGGTGTAATCGCTCGATACGCCCTAAATATCTTGGATAGCCAAGAAGAACCGCATTCGGATCAAAGTCGAAAATCAACACAGGCGTATCTACTACTGATAACTTCTCAATAATGCCGCTCCTACCATTATCATCTGAGTCCTCAGCCTCTTTGTAACCACACATCATCTCGCCTCAACGACCGATAAAGGCGTCACTACAATTGCAAACAAGAACTTGCCTCAATAATTACCGGCCATCACCCACTACAAATTTACAACGCCATGTATACCCGCAAGGGGGAAATCAACTCATAATATACGAAGCTTAGGTCATGGCTTATGAGGGACTGCTGCTCTAATGGGGCTATACATTTTGAGGAAGGACAGGCGGCTGACATGTGGAGCGAGAGGGGTTAGAGGTCTCTGAAAATTATGCTGGGACCGATATTTTTGAGGAGTTTTCAACTTTGGATTTTTTTGTGGGCGCCAAGACCAAGATTTCGGCTAATTAGCCAGGAAGGCTTCTTCTGTCGACGAGTCAACGGCACTCCCCAGCGCCCTGGACGGCACAAAAGAAGTTGGGCTATGCTACTATACAGCAATCACGCTCTGTCAAGACTCTTCTGACATTTCAGCACGACCTTCGGGAAGGAGGCTAGAAAGGCAGAGGGTGAATTTCCCGAGGTACCCGCAAGTCTGCAGCGCCCAGCTGGCAGGTCTCCTCGAACGCTTTAGAAGGGTCACTAAGTCTTCGGATCTAGTCCTAATGTTGGTAACAGAAGAGACCCGCACCCATTGCTTTTCTCGATTTTCCCTGGCTGCCACATGCCGGCAAATTGCCATCGTTTCGTTGGCTGGAGATGGGAGTTAATGATGGTCAAAGGGCTCCTCAAGGTGTATGATCGAACGCGAATTTGTGAGGAGTGGTACTGTTTGAGGGGAGCTGTATGAGAGGCATGAGAGGGGATTTACTACTAGATAGGTATCCTCGACCTGTAGGTAGAGATAACTATTGAAATCTAGACATGCCAGACCGAATTGCACGCAGTGCGGAGTAGACGAAGACTACTCATCTTCGATCGCTACCAGCTTTTGTGAGGTCTCGGTTGGTGATGATCTTGGTAGTGTGAATGTTATTCCATCACGTAATCAGAACACAATGTTTCTACCTAAGCAAGGTAGAACATAGATAGACAATTAGATTTAGATTAAAACACCAACACTTTTAACTACCGAAATATAAGTTCAGTAAAACCAAAACCTCACTGATCCTAACCTTTTATCTCTGATCTTTAAATCCCCAATATCTTACGATTCGTACAGTATTGACTTGACGGTCAACGTTCACTTCTATCATTCCAGATACCCCCTAGGACTTTAATAATAACAACAAAATGAAATTATAATTAACATAGCAGTAGAATGTAAGGGCTTGCGTGAACCTTGTTATTATCACGCAAACAACCATTGGGATTTATTTGGAAGCAAACTCGAATAAACGAGCGAGATACGAAGTCTGAACACCTGTAAGTATTTTCTACTATTAACTTTGGAGCATATCATTCTCTCAGAGCCGATATTTAGTCACGAATATTTCGTGCTTGAGGGATCTCGACGGGATGGCCATCACGAGAAGATGCGGTGGCCGCCCATGTCAGGTCAACGACCCGAGCTGTAGATTCAAGGCCGTGCGATCCAACTAAACCGATTATCTTCACCTCAAGAAAGAGTCATGGAGTCTTGGCCCTACATGGTGTTCGTAGTTCATCAACTGACACCCCTAAAAATCTCGGTTTTCCCCAAGAGGTCTTACCTAGATAAAACCATCTCGTGAAATTCTCCGCAGCCGTCTCATCACCTTGCCAGGGTACTTGAAAGACCGAAACTCCACAAAATACAATTTGAGAGCGTTTATCGTTGTGCAAGTGCCGAGCCCTGTAAAGGTACGGTCGAAGAACTGCCCTCGAATGCCTCTACACCTCGGGCAATGGCACTACCAATTTGATCTGCAACTAATCTCCATTGACTAAATAGGCACTATATATCACTGGCATATGGACCGGAATATTCAACGAGCCTGGGGCATTGATGCCTAGGTATTGAGCTCTTAAATACGTATTCAACCTCTGAGGCTAGGTGTACGACAGCAACGGGGCAAAACAAAGAGTTGTAAAGCCCTCGAGATTCTAAGATAGGGGTTTTGTTGTAAAAATAATACAGATACTACAATACAAATGGTAAAGGGAACACAAACTATGGAGACCTCAAATGAAAAAAAAACTCCTGATGAGATGGGGAGATGCTGAGGCGAGAAAAGCTGTGACCAGAAGAAATGAATAAATCCAATGACATGAAGGTATCGTGTGTCCAGGTACGCGATGACCGAGTCTGATGAAATTTAGCGATCCAGCGTAGTAACGTACGGATTTCTTGATGGCCGAACTTAACATGGTTCAATAGATGGTTCGATTATATAGATAGGACAAAGTTCAAGTACTCATTTAATTAATTTGAAAGTCAACCAGGCCGTGGATACCGCTACAGCCAGATCCTTGAGGAGACGTGGTGGCTGCTAATATTTCTACGATTCTACACTGATTGAAAAGAACCAGAGGCCTTGAATAAATTCTTCGTTATACGAGGACTCCATGGCGGATTTTCCACATGAAAATATCTTATTTTTTGCATCAGATTTCAATCGCGTACGCAGGTATCTAGCTATGACACAATATCAAAGAAATTTACATGAAAGATGACTCAATATAAAGGAAGAGCACTCATGCCTCGAATTTCATTTGCAAGTATCACTGCGAAGTTATGGCGGCTTTTTCTTCACCTCAAGTCAACCCTCATCCGTGAATACCCACGCTGGGGAACGTCTCAAAAACCCTGAGTTATCCAGACATGCCTCCGTCATACATCAACTTTTCTCAGCGCGAAA